AATATTCTTATGACCTTACTAATAATCATAATGATGCAGAAAGAACAAACACAGTCAGGCCACTTTATTCCTTGTTGTAAGTGTCTTTGAGTTATTCCTCAACTAATAATTTTCCTGACATTTTTGCAAAATTACACGTCTCCAAGTTGTGTTCTTGAAATCCACATTTAAATCTTGACATTCAAATGCAATTTACATTAAAATTCATTGTTTTATCCAAAACCAAGTTCTTGGAGTTTTACCCCAAGTTTTGCATTATGTTTCCAATTCCTATACCTTTGGCAGGGTTTCCCAGTGAGTACGAAGGTTGTGGGGCACACCTGGCTGGGCAGCCCCCCACCAGGTCGGCTTAGACCTCTGGGAACTGCCCCAGGAGGAGGCATATCTGTGCATGACAAGGTGTGTGGCACAGACTATGTACTGCTGCTGCAAGGCCAAGCCTTCAAGGACCTCAATTCAGTCAGTGACCATGAGATGGTGGAACTCAGGATCCTGCATGGAGGAAGCAAATTGGTAAGCAGGACCAGAGCCCTGAACTTCCAGAGAGCTAACTTTGACCTCCTCAAAGACCTATTTAGAAGAATCCCATGGGATAGGGTTCTAGAATTGAAGGGGGTCCAAGAGAGCTGGTCAATATTCAAGCATCACACCTTCCAAGCTCAAGACCAGTGTATTCCCATGAGCAAGAAATTAGGCAAAGAGTGAAAGAGACCTGCATGGATGAGCTGGGATGTGGAAAAAGGAACAGGCTACACCAGAGGTCTATAGGAACATCATTAGAGTATGCTGGAAATGAGTCTGGGAAGTCTTTACTTCTGAGGTCAGCCATCAGGAATCCCAGACCTGAGAGGTAAGAGAAGAAATCTGGAGAAAGGCCTCCCCTTCATCATAGAAGATTGGGTTAGAGATCAGCTAGGTAGACTTATCACCCATAAATTCATGGGCCCTGATAGGATGTACCCACTGGTGATGAGGGAGCTGGCAGATGTTGTTGCTAAGCCACTCTCCATCATCTTTGAAAAATCATGGAGAATAGGAGATGTACCTGATGACTGGAGGAAAGCTAATGTTACTCCCATCTTCAAAAAGGGCAAGAAGGAGGATGTGGGAAACTACTGGCTGGTCAGCCTTATCTCCACCCCAGGAAAGGTGACGGAACAGATAATTCTGGAGGTCATTACCAAGTGTGTAAAAGAAAAGAAGGTCATCAGGAATAGTCAGCATGGATTCACCATTGGTCAATCATGCTTGACCAATCTGATAGCCTTCTACGATGGCATGGCAGAATGGGTCAATAAGAGGAGAGCAGCAGATGTTGTCTACTTGACTTCAGGAAGGTTTTTGACACTGTCTCCCATAATGTCCTCATAGGTAGGCTCAGGAAATGTGGGTTAGACGAATGGACAGTGAGGTGGATGAAGAGCTGCCTGAATGGCAGAGCTCAGAGCATCATCGTCAGTGGGGTAGAATTCAGTTGGAGGCCTGTGGTCAATGGTGTTCCCCAAGGATCAATACTGGGTCCAGTCTTACTCAACTTGTTTATCAATGACCTGGACAAAGGGATAGAATGTACTCTAAGCCAGTTTGCTGATAATACAAAACTGGAGGAAGTGGCTGATATACCTGAAGGCTGTGCTGCCATTCAGCAGGACCTTTGTAGGCTGGAGAGTTGGGTGGAGAGAAACCTCATGAGGTTCAACAAAGGCAAGTGTAGGGTCCTGTACCTGGGGAGGAATAACCCCAAGTACCAGTACAGTTTGGGGGCTGACCTGATCAGTTCTGCAGAGAAGAACTTGGGAGTCTTGGTGGATGACAAGTTGACTATGAGAAATGTGACGTCATATTATTCTGCTTGCAAAATAGGCTCAGTGCTCCCCCGCTGAAGAGAGCCAAACACTGGGGGTCTGTTCCAGCCAAACCTTAACCATACACTTAACTTCGTCATGCCCGTGCAGGGACAGCTTGAATATGTGATCCTGTAATGAGCAATGACTAAAGCACAGTGGAGCTCTGGGAACATGGGCTGCTGTATTGCTCCACTCCTACACAGCTGGGGACCTGCAGTGCATTTTGGAGAACTAGAGCATGCAGAATTAACTTGATCTTAATTTAGTCCCCTGAGTACACCATAAAGTTCCCACTTGGTAACACTGTCTTCCGAGGACATTATAACATGCCAACAAAGTGACTGTTTTCTCATCTGATGGAAGTGACAAACTGCCACAATACAAAGTATAAAAAATTTAGACCCTTCCTAGTTGTGGTAGCTACTGTGCCATCAGAAGATGACATTTGAGGGAGTTGGTCAGGTGTTTAGATGTTTCAGAGGTAAAGTAATCCTCAATAATTATACATTTGATATCTGTATTAAGAAAAATGAAAGAAAATGTTTACAGTATGCTAGTCAGTAAGACAAAAATGAACAAAAGTGCCGACCAATCTACAACAATTTTCTTTGCAGCTACTTACATTTTAATCCTACCATCCCAAACTGAGCTTGTCAAGTTACCCTTCAAATCAAATGCAAGAGAAAAATCCATCCTTGGCTTTGCAACTATAAACCCAGCCAGTCTAGTAAAGTGAGAGTTACTCTTTTATGTATTTGGCAAATCTGGGAGCAGAATTTACCACTTGGTATAAATATTTCTGCATAGTTTCTTTAAAAAAAAATAATCTTGCCTACTCCTCTTCCTGGCAGACTCTTAGAAAGTAGTAAATATGCAGATGGGCATAGTGATATATTTTGTATCAACATATTTTAAATGTGTGCATATGCATTAGCTATATAAATACATTCCCCAGGAAGTCTGCCAGTGGATATACTACAAAGCCTTGTGTGTTACATTTGGGTTTGCTTGCGCAGTAGCACAGCAGCATCAGGAAGAACTGCTCTAGTTGTATTTGCTCTACGACAGCTCACAGTTACCTGTGCAGTTTCCTGTTTCCATCTGCATGTAAAAATGTTTTAGATTTATATAAATATACATACATACACAAATGAGCAAGAATATCATAGAATCATAGAATGGTTTGAATTGGAAGGAACCTTAAAGATCCTCTAGTTCCAAACCCCTGCCATGGGCAGGTATAACTTTCACTAGACCAGGTTGCTCAGAGGTCCATCCAGCCTGGCCTTGAACACCTCCAGGGATGGTGCATCCACAGCTTCTCTATCCAATCTATTCCAGTGCCTCACAATGCTCACAGTAAGGAATTTTTTCCTAATATCTAATCTAAACCTATTCTCTTTTAGTTTTAATCCATTCCCCCTTGTCCTGTCACTAAGTGTTCTCCATCTTTCTTATAGGCTCCCTTCAGGTAGTAGCGGGCCACAATTAGGTCACCCCAAAGCTTTCTCTTTTCCAGGCTAAACAATCCCAATTCTCTCAGCCTTTCCTCATAGGAGAGGTGCTCCATCCCTCTAATCAACTCTGTGTCCCTCCTCTGGACTCGCTCCAACAGGTCGATGTCCTTCCTGTACAGGGTACCCCAGAGCTGGATGCAGTGTTCCAGGTGGGGTCTCACCAGAGCAGAGGGGCAGAATCCCCTCCCTCAACTCTGGCTACGCTGCTTTTGATGCAGCACAGGACATGACTGGCTTTCTTGGCTGCCAGTGCACATTGCTGGATCATGTCGAGCCTCTAATCTGCCAGCACCCCCAAGTCCTTCTCAGCAGGGCTGGTTTTGATCTTTTCATTCATCCCCCAGCCTGTATTGATACCAGGAGTTGCTCTGACCCAGGTGCAGCACCTTGAACTTGGTCCTATTAAACTTCATGAGATTCCCATGCGCCCATTTCTCCAGCTTGTCCAGGTCCCTCTGGATGGCATCCTGTCCTTCAGGTGTGTCAACCACACAATATGTACTGTATATACATATAGTCTAATGTCTTCATTATAAAGCTGTTATAAAGCCATAACAAAGTCTATGAAGTTTCGGTGAAATATTGCTCTGGGTGATACATGAAGACCATAGCAGTATGTCAAATCCATATGACATATCAAGTTAAATTGTACTTGATAATAATCAACACAAGAGTAATTCCCCACTGACTCAGCTGCTGCGTCTTCAGCTCTAGTGCTGTGCTTGTTCTGTACCACTCCATGCACAAAGCCTGTCCTATCCCGTGCTGTCCGGTATCTCTGCTCCTCCACTGCCTCTGGTCCTGCACCCTCTCCCTGCTTTTTCTGTTCTTGAGAAAAATTGCTGCACAGACAGATCCCTGAAAGCAAGTGGAACAAGCTAGTCTTGCCCAAGCTCTGGAGTCCTACCCTGGGGGCTGAAGAGAAGCAGCCCTGGTCAATGTTCAATGCTGCCCTGTGCTGCAGCATTCCTTCCCAACTGGACCAGCTTCCCCCTCCTGAACTGGCTAGAGGTTGGAGACTAGCAAAGGACAAGAGAGGGAGAACATCTGCCCTTGAGACCCCACCACTCCCTTGTCTAAAAGATTTAGCAGTGTTTCATGTTTCTTGCTATTACTGTGCGCCTTTTCCGGTGCTGGTACCGTGAGTGAGTCAAAGGGTATTGCACATCACTATTTACATGAGCACTGGCAGGTGGGGGCAACGGAGGAAGCGGCTGCAGTGTGGTGGGTGGATATGTATGTGATGGTACGGTTAACCATGCACTATGGAACCACGTGGATACTGTTGCAATGGTGCTATGAGAACCATGCTCTTCTACTTCATTGAGCAAGGAAAAGCTCCAACAAATACTGTAGTGGGAACACAGCAAAAAGACAACTTTGCGTATAATTCTAGACAAAAATCAAGTTGCTTTTTCAATGATGATAGGCTGGAATGAGCATTCTGGCATTTCTGCCCCCCGCCCCCAACCCCTTCTCTAGAGCTACTATTTAGATGAGCTACAGTATTAAGAGAGAAGCTGCAAAGATGCTAGCTGCAAAAATAAAGGATGAAATAAAAGTCAAGCATCCACATTCCTCCCAACTAAAAATGAAGTTCTGAGGAAATGGAGGAGGGAAAAGAAAAGGAACTTACCACACTGCGAGTGAACTTTTCTAGAGAAGTTCTACGACCTTGCTCATTCTCTGTCTTAACAAGGAAAAAAGTGGGGAGAGAAAAATACAGAAAAAAACCCCTTCAGCTTAAATGCAGTCTTTCAAAACAGCAGCAAAATATAAAAAAGCAGCAAGTGGAAAAAGTTGTAAAAATGTAAAAAGCAGAAATCAATGTTTGCAACAGCAAACATAAGAAATCAAAATGCCTTAAAGAATGAGAGACATCGCTACTTTTACTCTCAGAGAATGTTACCTTTTCTCCTGTGAGATTTTTGAATGGCTCAAACAGGTCTGTGCATTGCTGTGTCTTACAGCTATTGGTATTGATTTCTCGTTCATTGAGTTGTCCTTCTGGCTGTTTGAGCTGGGACCTCTGATTCTGGTTAACATCTGCCAAACAGCTGATCGGAGGCTCCCATCCACTTGCTTAGAGTGATGAAAAAAACACAGTAACTTTTATACTATTAAAAGCAATGTGTGAGTGAATACAGCACTGGAAGAAAACCACCACTGGACTCATTGCCAGGGAACCTACACTCTTCTACTTACCCAGAGGGTAGAAGCATATTTCCATTAAGTCCAGCTACATCAAAACAGAAGACAGNACGCATGTCTTTGAAAGGCCACAAAAAGATAGAAGGCAGATTTGGGACACCGATATTTTTGTACCTGGAGTACAGGACTATTCAAGTGCAGGACGACATTCAACTGCACTGTGAGAAGACAAGTGTGTGCATCACAGCTTTATTAATGTAACCCTGAGAAAGCTGCTCACTGCAGCGCTTCATTCATTTGGCACAAGGGAGATCTAATTGTCACTAACAAGGAAGAACTCAATAATGTATTGGTATGTTTGCTGGAATAGCTAAGAGAAAAAAATTGTTATGGAAAAGAGAAGAAACTCAACAATATGAAAGAAAGTCATTGCAGCCAGAAAGCTGTCAGCGGTGCTCATTTCCAGGAGAGAAACTTATTTTAAGTTTACTGGTGAGCCAGCAAAATGGGTGTGGTAAGATGGAAGTAAAACTGCTGCAAAGGAGATAAGGAGCTACGTACAAGGGAAAGCCACAGCAATGATGGTGCATGAGAGTGCAGTGGAAATAAGCATTGCACTGGAGAGACAATAGCTGACATATCATCTGCCACAGATTCAGCTGCAGTAACAACCCTCAGAACAAAGCATCAGTGCAAATATCATATGGAGAAGATGTAAGGAAGCCAAAAGCTCAGATAAATAAGATGAGAACTTGTGTAGGTGAGTCTAGGCAAAGCCTTTTGATCCTTCTGCATGTTCATCCCAGCTTTCAGAGCTCTCTGATGTCTACAAGGTTAGTCTGAAGCATCCCAGGCAGAGATGAGGCAGATTGTCCCTGCCACATCACCAGAGATGAGACCAAAATATAAGGCTCTTAAGACAAGCAATATTCTTTGTCCAGATGAAAGAGTCAAGCAACCTCCCCACTTATAACTGTTTGAGGAAGCCACACCATCAGCTCTGATGTCCCAGAAGTGGTATCAAAAGTGAAAGCTAGAGGCATGTCATTTTAGCCCACATGGAGAACAGAGCCAAGGCCTCAAAGCAAGCACCAAGCAACAAAACAGACTTCCTGGCTGGCAGGAAGGCAGTGTTGTACCCGGTCCAATGGTCCCTAAAGAAGTATTTAACATGCACTAACCCAAGGGTTAGTTGCCTCTCCTTGCATGTGAGAGGAGGAGAAAGGGGAAAGAAACATCACTCTTCTGCTGAGTATTACAGCAGTGCAAGTGCTCAGGGCATCGCAGATCCCCTCTTTCAAGGAGCCTCAGAGGTGTCCCCACACCCCGAAACAGCAGAGGTGACAGGGAGAGCCTGCAGTCCTGCCACCTTCGCTGAACGTGTCTCAGTGAGCAGGATTAAGGACAGGAGTGCCCAGCTGGGCAGCCAAATTAAAGACACAATTTCATTCAGGAGAAGAAATACCTGGACAAAAGACTGAGTGTTTTGCAAGGATCCCTAGGGGAGCAAGGCACTTGGAGTTTGCAGCGTTGCATTGCTGTGGGCTGGAAAAATCAGTGTCTCGCCCAACTGCATTTTGAAGTGAATGTTTGGTGTGCACTGGGGGCAAAAGAGAGTGAGCTGCTGAATGCAAACTGTGCTGTGTCCCTGCACTTGCCATCAAAATTTAGTGCCTCTGCTTTTTCTACCTGCAAGGTGAGGCAGCTTCCCACCCAGAAGAAAGGCAAGATAGTGGTCTTCAAAGATGGTGAGCATGTTGTTGGGGTGCTGAGAGCTTGTCTGGCACAGGGAGCCCCCCACAAGGCTGTTTGCTGCCTACCACAACTGAAGACGTGTAGGGAAGCAGCCATGGGGAGCACTGACAGTGTCTTACAGAAGCACCTTGCAAAGCACAGTCTGCAGTCACTCTACACATTTGGCATGGTGGTGGCAGGCTGGGACCAGCTGGATGCATGGAAAGCTCATCCCTATAGCATCCAGCTCTGAGTCAAAGCATGACATTTTCTAGTAAAATAAAAAGCAGCTGAGGCCGGCTGGCTGCAGAGTGATGAGCCGGCTGGAGTAGTTTTAATGTCTGGGTGTGGGTGCTGGCTGTATGGCTCACTGGCTCTTCCTGTCTGCTTGCCCCTGTGGCTGGCAGCCTGCTGTGGATGGAACTGCCTGCCCACATCTCTCCACCACGGTGCAGAGGTGGGGAGGCTGCCTTGCACAGCAAATGAAGGAAATTTAAAAATAACAAAGTAAAAAAAAATAAAAAAAAATAGAGAGACTGAGTCAGATCTATCTCAGTCCTGGGAACAGACCTGGCGTGTGGACCCTGGAGCCGTGCCTACTGTAGCACCACAGCAGCATCTGCACAAACATGCACTGTGTGTGCAAAGGGGCAAAGGCAGAGAATGTGCATGCCAGTCATGTAGTCTTCCTAGGTACAAAAAAAGCAAACTTTGCCAGTAAATACACCAAGAGACTCTACCAGCTAATGGCAAAGGACATGTGCATTTGGATAAAATATGAAACAACTATCCCTGCTGCTACTGAAAACCTCTCAGCCCAGGTAGATACAGAAAACCAGATTTTGCCACTTAGAAGCCATTCACTGATTATTGAGTTTCTTCTCCAAATTTTTCTTTTCTAATGATTAATTATTTACACAGCCATTCAAAGTTCCTTTGTGTAGATTCTGCTGGCACAGAGTTTAAGCTGAAAAAAATTAAGAAAACCAGCTGACACTGATTATTAAAAGTAATTATGAGAAAAGCACTCAGCATCTTTACAACATGCAAAGGAAGTCCTGCCACTGAATTAAACTGTCCATGTGTGCCCTGATGGGACTGAGATGGGGGCATAATCTGCATTAGGAACCTTCCTGGACAATACAGAGCAGTCAGCACAGCGGTCTGGATAAAAGCAATGCTTCGAAAGGTGTGTGCAGAAAATGGAGCCTGTCCCTCCTGGCATGAAGGTCCTAACCATTCCCTTGCTGACACTTTTTGCCAGGGATCTGAAAAGGGGTAGAGAAATACATATAAAAACTTGGTCTTCTGAACTTCAGGTCTGCAAAAATCTCTCCCTCCCTCCTTCACTCCCTGCCTCCCTGGGTTTATTTTGTCAGCTATCAAATTCTTCTTTTGGTATGAGACTTTGGGGTGTGGAGTGGGGTTTATTTTGAACTTTAACTTGGTGAAAAAGATGTATTCCAGAGGGAATGGCATCAGATGAAAATAAAGGATAATTACTTCCCTGACCAATGCCCAGGGTCCTGGGCTTCTCAGGCAGTCATGTCTAGCTGTCCAAAGTGAGAAAACAAAGGCACTACCAAGTGACCAGAACAGTATTTTGCATATATTTTGTGTCCATTTGAACAGGACCATGGTGAATTCAACTTCTCTGAACCAGCTGGAGAGGAAAACAATGCTCTAAACCAAGCAAATACCAACCTGCTCTTCCCTCAGTGTGGCAGGGCTTACTCCCATGACTTTGCAGCCTGGCTGCACTGCAGCCGCGGGTGCCTTTCCAGGATGCTTCCCTGCCTGCAGGCAGGGCAGGATGGCAGGAAGCCACCCCATGCCAGGCTGACATGAACACCGGGACTGTGACAGTTCAGCTGCCGCTTCAGCTAATGCAGAGATGCCGACCAATGTCATTGTTTCACCTTTACGGTGAGTAATGGAAAGTGCCTCAAGGTCTTTTCTGTTTCTTTCTCTCCCTTCTCCACAAAAATAACTAGCAGAGCTCATGTCTGGCTGCTCCTTCACCATTAACAAAAGTTCCTGTGCATAACTGATCTACACTGCTCTTTCCCCAGGGAATAAAACTCTGCTCTGCATCCAAGTCACCCTGCCTAAATGCCTCCTTGCCTTGAGTGAGAAGATTTGTCACAGCACTTGTCCTGACGGGTGGCTCGCTGCTTTCTAAGGACATCCAGCCACCATCTTGGCTGCTGTGGAGAAGGGCTGGAGGGCAGTGCAGTGGTGATTACCTGCTGTACGGTACCCTGCAGTAACTTGCATATCAGCAGAAATAGCAGCAGGTCGACACTTGACTTTGCACAGCACAAGTGGGGCGTGTTTTGTAGATACACGAATAAAATACAGTAAGTTGGTCGGGGATCTCAGCACCATCCAGCCCTTCACTGCTAAACCAGATGCTTTCAGCAGCCCCACGATTTCTACCTGCTGCAGAGAGGGGGATGGGCATGAATGCACAGAACTCAAATTGGGCTGGGCATATGGCCATTCCTCCTGAGGACAGGGCTCCACCCTCGTCTCCACTCTGGCAGGGAAGAGGACTTCTGTTGGAGGCAGAAAGCTACACCCAGCTTTCCCTCTCTGCAGCTCGCTGCTTCCAATCACACCCTTGCTGGAGGCCAACCTCATATTCCCTGCTGAGCACCATGAATCTGCAGGATTGAGGCCAATAATACTGTGGTTATTTGCAATAATGACACTGGGAAGAATGAAGAAAAAAAAATCTTAAATGGATTAACAAAGTATATATGCCTGGTCTGCATACAACCTATGTCTGCTGTCTTGTATCCGTTAGTGGTGTGAACAGTATGTTCCTCTCATAATTCTGTCATTGCATCTCAATCCTGACTCATAGTTTCTTCTCCCTTCTTCCTCTTCATTGCTTTACTCCCAGAGCAGGGAAGGGAAGCTCCACATCTATGGTTATTGTACGGTGTGGAAGAAAATAACTCTTCAAATTTACACTATCTTACAAATATTAAAAATGTCAAGCATGTTTGGAATCACTAATCAAGCTCTGGCTTCAAGCTGAGCAGGTCACTATTATTACTGCCATTTGACAAAGAGGAGGATATGAGGCAAAGTTGAACCTTCTTTTCACCAAGCTCACACAAGAAATTAGGTGGGGGAACCAGGGGAAGCACATGGATTTTTATGGCTCCCAGTCCTGTGCTCTAGCCACACAGTCAACGTTTCCCCTTTTCCTGCCCACTCAGTTAGCCACAAGCCAGTGCCAAAGGGCAAAAGATCAACATAAACTTATCCACAAAATATTCACGTGTGAATCTAAAGCCATAGTTTATTTGCTTAGTGCAAGCAACTCTTTTATCCCATGTCCATCATGCTGTGCTTCTGACAGAACTTATTTTCAGTAATAAAACTAAGGCTATGTCATACAGTGTGGTATACAGGCAATGTGAAGATAATGTCTTGAGGACAGACATGCCTCAGAGAGATGTACTCATCAAGACTTAAAGAACTGCAGTGAATTTCTATTCATATCAGTGAATCCAGGACTTTGTTTGCAGGTTCTAAACCAAATCCTTTTGCCACACAGGCTCTGATATGCCACTGGGTTTCTCTTTTCCTTCCCTCTGCTTTCCAGCTATTTAGAGGAATTTTAAAAGAATGCCTCACAAAGCTGCACCAAAGGTCCTCAAGATAGGACCGTGTAGCTCAGTGCACAGAAATTTCTTGTTCTTTCTGTCAGCACTTCTGTATCTACACTCTTTCCAAAACATTCACTTGTCCAACATAATGCAATGTGGTTGCACAGAGCTTTACAGACTCCAGAGTAACACCAACTCCCCTCCCACATCATGTGAAGCTCGTGAACAGCACATCTGCACAGATCTACTCCTGCCTTTTTTGTGCTTTGATATATTTACTCGCGCACCCACAGTTCTTTCTACAAGAAACGTGATTCTTACTTTCATGGCTGTGTTAACATGACACCAAAACCTGCTCCTCCGGCAGTTTGCAGGGGAATGAGGATGTCACACTGACACATTCAGGGCTTGATCTGAGAGCAAACAAGGACTGCAAAGAAATAAACCTCCAGTTTGAATGGGCTTGGCTGGGAGGAGAAAACTCTCCCGGCTTTCAAGCACTCAAACCCTCGTGTGTTCAATGGTGAGGGGAACCACAAACTGCTAGGGGTAGGAAGATGGCAGAGGTTTTTATGCTTTATACCATCAGAAGACTTTGCCTTATACTTCCTTCTTTCCCTACAGCTTCTGAACTCTAAGTCAGGTCTAACCTGCACTGGCTTATGCTGTCATAGACCAGACATTTTGAAACAGAAGGCTGACTGCTGCCCTCCACTACCTTCCCCTAACCACCTTCCACTAGTTCTGGCACAGCAGACAGAGAGACTTGTCTCCTTTTGTCACCATATGCATGCTTTTAGGGCACACAATGACAACCAGGACAAAAATACCACTGGGATTTCATTGTATTGTGTCGATGCAATGCAATTTGGCAGCACACAGAGAATGCAGCAGAAAAACAGCAGGGAAGATGGTGACGGGAAACCACACACTCAGGCTGCAGGAGTGAGGACTCGGTTTACATAGGGTCCTGGAAGCCAAACGTAAGTGGGACACATACACATGTACATGGCATGCACATGCACACAGACAGACACACAGACCTATGGAAATTAGTCAGGAGGTGCAGGAAGCATTTGAGCACGGCCACAAATGCAGAGATCAGTAGCTTATCTCCCAGACCTCTTAGAAAGAAGGGGCACAGGGACAGGAGTTGTGTAATCACTCCTTTGCTACCCTAATCTGGGGGCTCCTGACAGAATCACGGTGCTGGCAGAACTCATGCAGATACTAAAAGGTTAAGAAGAGCTCAAATCCAGATCTCCTGTGAGACAATGTGGTTGGAATTCTTGATTATTACATGTGTTGTAATTATTTCCTGTCTCTGAGGAAAATGAAACATATCTAGGCAGGCAAAAGCAAGGGAAGGGGAGAACAGGAGTATGGAAATCACTGAAGAGGAATTTATAGGTAAGGCATCCAAAGGAAATATCACATGGTGAGGCTAGGCAGGTGAAAACCTTAATGGGTGAATTTTGCACCAGTAATGAATAGATTGATGGGTTCTGCTTCTAATACCACATACCATCTTTTCCATGAGAAAGAGGCAATACAATTTTAATTGCCTACATTGAGTTTCGGAGACAACTGTGCAAGACAAACACCTTTCAATATTATTTTTACCTTGGGTCACCATATTTTCCCCAAAACTCATGCTGAGGCTGTGCACATGGATGCCATACCCTGTGCCCCCAGTGAAGAAGACAAAAGTGCTCATTCCCTTCTTTAAGAAAAAAAAAAGGAAACAGTATTTTCATTTTCACACTAGCAGCAAGCAGCAGGTGAGAATCAAGAGGTGCTAAGAGATGCAAGCGTGTCCTTTCCAACAGATACCTTCTTCTTCGCCAGCAGTAAGTCCTGGTAAGCACTGGAACGGAGGAAGCGCGCATAGCTGTCACTCTTCATCAGCTTGTAAATGTGCTCCTGTGGGACGGGAGGAAATGAGAGACAGAGAATTGTTATCAAACCTCATTTAGACATCACAGAGATTTAAAACACAGCAAATTAGAAGGAAGAGAGACTGATCAAAGTTCTAAGTAAGGCTGCTATTATTGATTATCTGTGCTGTGGTAGTGTACGGGAGGTCCATCCTGGGGCAGGATCCTGCTGTGCCTAGGGCTGTATAAACACCAAACAAAGAGATGGCCCTCACCCCAAAAGCTGGCACACATTATTTGATAATCAGTGTTATTCTGCAAAGACTGCAACTCTCTTAAATCTCCAGATTATAAGCAGGTGCCTAGCCTGTCTGAAGCTACTAGGATGCCTCTAGAAGGAAGAAATAAACACCAGAAACTGTCCCATAGATTAGGTTTCATTTTACCACTCCTAGATAGCTGGACTATCACCCAGCATTCCCCTCCTGTTTACAGAAAGGAACTGATACTTGAGACACATTTCATCTCCACTTAAGACATGTATTTAAGCAAGCAAACCTGCTAATATCCTAAAAAAGCCCATACCTCTGGTGACTATGCAGGAGGTTACATGACTAGCTCAGATGTGGATGGCTACATCTTACATTGGGTGAGTTTCTCTTTTGGGTTCTTTCTTCTCCTAGCAAGTCTAACTCCTGTTAACAGTTTGCTCTAAGAGAACCTAGTATGTGTATATTCAAACTTACAAAGTAGTGTTTCATTGCAGCAGAACTTAACACATACCCTTTTCTAATTTCCTTCCTTAGTTTTACTTTCCTGCTGAGAATCCCTTAACACAGTCAGCTCTTCTCCTAGTTATCCCTAGTTTTGTAATAGATATTATCCCAAACACAAAGAAAATAAAATCAAAATACTTTGACCAAATAATGACTGAGAACACACAAAAGGAACTCAAGAGAAAAACAGGCATCCTGGGCATTTCTCTTAGACTTTGCCCAAGGAAGCAGTTTTACAGAGCTAATGAGCAGTTTTATCTATACTGATTTATACAACATGAAATATTCTCTTCTATCCTAAAGCCATTGTACATGAAACTTTAGAAGAACCAAACCAGACAGAAGTCGCACAGCTTATTTCAGTGTGTTAACAAGCCAAGCAGAATTCCCTTATCTTCACCAACATGGGTAATTAGCAATGACCTGTCTATACACAGAAGAACTGCTTAATTCAGCTTTCTTACACTATTCGGTGTAGTCCTAAGAGGGGCATAACTGCCACTGGTTTTCCTACGACACAGCATAAATGTATCCTTTGAGCTACAACCTGGTGTGGAACAATTTTTACTGGTTAATTTCCATACTTGCTTTTAGTCTTGACAGATCCTCATTTGTGCAGCACTAGCTAACTGAAGGACAGCGCAAGATTTTGCAATAGAAACACTCATATAAAGCCATTTAGCAAATGTCACCCTTCTTGCTTCAGAAAAAAACACATGGGAGGGCACAGTTTCACACTCCTCACGTACAGCATTGCCATAAGATTTCACATCCAGTTGTGGGACATTTGTTCTATTTATGCAGGATACCATGAGCCAAGTATGCCCTAAGACAAGAGAAGGGAAAATAATACACATCGTGGATATGGTTGTCAAAAGGTTTATATTTCTCTGGTGTGAGTAAGGATTCTCAATATCAGTTCTCTCCTAAATACTTCAACTAGCAGAAACTCAGGACTCAGTTGATTTAAACCCAACCAGTTTACCTGTACTGTTATTTCTTAAGGTTTCCAAGGAGACTCCATGTCCTCCTAATAAGTTCTTTATAATTACTGGTGAAAAGCCCCTGCCTAACTATGTGATTTTCCAGGACCACAAGGAGACTGATGAGTAAGTGGGGCAGCCCATCAACAGTAAAGGGCCTGAGGGGTCTCCAGAGCCTTCTTCCTCGTAGTGGTCCTCATTGCAGCAGCCAGCACATGGAGGGTGCTGGTGGGAGGGGGTGCTGAGGTGGGCAGGAAGGTGCTGTGGGGCTGAGGTGCTGCGGGGCTGGTGGGTGACAGGGGTATTTTTATTAACCTTTTGCTAGACATGATTAATTTTTTTACTGTCTTTGGACTTGAAATGGTTTCTTTCCCCATGGTCAGACAACTGGGTCTGCTCCGAAACACAGTGACAACATATTTAGAAAATAACATACAGCTTTCATTGCCACACAGACAAAGGAGAACACACCAGGCTGGCTATACAACCTGCCTGCATGCCAGTGACAACTATCATTCTTGCTCATGTCAAGACAACTTCATGTATTTGACCTTAAAACAGTATAAACTCAGTATCTGGTGGTGAGAATGGGAAAAAATTGATTCAATCCCGAGATGAAATAAACCACAAGGTGACTTCGTAACTGAAGCCCTTCCCTGAAATGGGACTATTGCACCACCACAGCCCCACTGCCACTGCAGTTGGCTAATTGGTTTGAAGCATTTTCTCTCCTT